AGTCGGGTCCGACTTCCCTTTCCTCTGAAAAGGCAGCTGCAACTGAACAGCCTTGCCCTTGCATGTCTGCAGCGGGGCAGTCCACTTAGCAGAATCCTTCCTTAACACAGAAGGATATGCAGAAGCAAGAACTGGGGGCCAGCCAATAGTTCCAATAAAGGCCTTGAGTCTTTAAAGGTACTAACCGCCTCTGCGGCCTCACGGAATACTGTCAGTGCCCCAAGAAAGAGGGTCGAACCCATCCTGTAAGGCAGTGCCAGCAGCGCTTGTTGAGTGGCCGGCGAGTACGGAGCCACTGATAACCAGAGCTGACGCAGGCCCATAACAGAACTCATCATATGGCTGGCACAGCTTCTTATGCTATCACACGTCAAATGAGAGTGTACCTCCATGAGTTGCCTTGCCAAAGATGGTGAGGACGCATCATCCCCACTGCGTCCCTGGTCTGCAATCTGCCTCTGAAGACCTATATTGTTCCTCGAAGGAACAGTACGCAGACTTAAACGTTCGGCTATTGGCAATGAACGGTAGCCAAAGCCAGGGTGTGATCAGTAGATTCACTGAGGGTAACTGAAGCATAAATGCATTTATCTACCACAGGTGGTTCGAACAACCCCTCCTCCCCCATCAGGTACCGTTGGTTCAACTAGTGGAGATCGAACCAGGAACGAGTACCTAAGAGGTGGGGTTTACTACCTCGCTTACCAGAGAAGGTAAAATGTGAAGGTGGGTCTTGGCAACTCCCAATGGGTCAGGTCCCTCCAGACAACCACTGGAGGTGTCATGGTGGCGATACGATCGCACACCTGCCTCAGTGACAATCAGAGTGAGAAAATCAGACCTCCCCGACTCCACCAATACCTCATCATCCTCGATAGCTTCCGCCTCACGTGCCTTGAGGACTGAACTCTGTTTCCAGACTAGTCTGCGAGGGTGCTAACAAGGAAGCTGACAAAAGGGTCAAGAAGAGCCAGGGTGCCCAGATCGACCAAGCTGCGGCTCGAGACCTAACTATGGCACCGAGATACCAAGGAAGAGCCTGACAAATCAAGGTTCCCGATGAGCCCAGGATGTCCCGTAGACGTTGAGGCGACCAGTGGCACCTGTGCACTCAGCAGCCACATGACCGAGGTGCCAGAGCCCGGGTCAGGGCTAGTGCCCTGGGTCTGCCTCGGGATGAACCGGAGACATCACCTGGGCACCGATCATCAGCCAGAGACTGGACACTGCATCGGAGATAAGCGATTTAACAGAAGACATCTATTGCTGCAATAAAGTGGATAAATCAGCCATAGTTAATGGTGCGAGTGCAGCAACAATAGGTTGTATGTAGGGGAGGAAGAAGCCTTATCAGCTAACTTTGCCTGCTTTAACCCCTACCTCTCGTCGTGTGTGTGTGTGTGTGTGTGTGTTCATCCCAAATTTCACCCCCTGCCTGAAGCATGTTGGTGTCAAACATCAGGTCCGCATGCCGGCTCTTCTGAGCTTTTGGCGTGAAAGCCAGACATATGGCGTATCGCTGACCATCGTGGGCTTCCTCAGCCAGACACCGGAGACAATCATCATACAGATCCTGAGGGGGCAGAACCACAATGTACGTAATGCAGTTTTTCAACTGCAAAAGCGAACAGAACCAACATATACATACAGTAGAACACGGATATAACGAACTCCAAGGGACCAAGAAATTTAGTTCGCTATATCCGTTGTTCGTTATTCACATTTGACCGCCATCTTGGATTGTAGAGATGTAGACATTCACAGACATTACCTATATCATGTTGATAAATATGAAGTTTACTTTTATGATGAAATTGAAATAATACAACTACAACTTAAATAAATTGATTTTTTAATGAAAATGCACGCTTACATTTATAATGTCCAGATAAACCACGAAAGAAGCAAAAACTGTAGCGATTTTTTTTCCATTTGTGACATGTCATAACATGCCCGTGCCTTTTCTTTTATATTTTCATTTTATGTATTCAGGCTTTCCGTTAAGTTAACATGACACAACAACGGGAAATACCTCCGTTTTGAAGCTTCATTATGAATAACATGCGAGGTGAGGTATCGTTAGACAGCTCTGAAACATCAACAATATCACTGTACCCTTGCGAGAGTATTTTCACAGTTGTAAAGAGCGATTTTATTGGATAAAGATTGGTTTCTAATGGCGCTTTTTAGCCACAGTCTGCTATAAGGATCGTGATTGGTCAAATTTAGACCGTGACCTAAGGCAGCCAATCATACTCTGACAATGGAAATAACGTTGTGGCGATTATTCAGCCTGCAATGTTGAATGGGTTAAACACGATATGTTTGTTTTGTTAATTAATTAATGACCATCAAACAATGTTGATTCACCGCCAACAAGATTGATGTATACCGCTAAGTGGCTGAGCTGACACTGAGTGAGTTAAGCTAATCACGCTAATTAATTGGGTCTTGGGGTAGTAAATCAGTCTTGGGGAAGTTCGTTATTCACGTAAATCAGTTAAAAGCTATAGCCGTTAATTAATCCGTGCTACTCTACGTATATGTTACAGTTATTCCAGGAAACATAATAATTTGTAATGATATTATAAAGGACTGTTGGCATATTCTTGGGGACTTTTGAAATTTGTTGAGGTCACTTCATTTGCTATATCCTTCTGTTTTATGGATCATGCTATATCCGTGTTAAAGCTATAACTTTTGGACGTGTTCTACTGTAAAGTGATCATCCCCAAAGCCAAGGTTCTGTAGAGAGGGCGAACTGTGAAATAAAAAACATCCTAGTTGCTTGGCTTGGAGACAATAACACGAGTGATTGGACTGTAGGACTTAAGTTCGTCCAATTTCAGAAAAGTTTGAAACTCCACAGTGGTATCAAAAGGTCACTATTTGCAGCTCTCTTCGGATCTGATGCTTGGATTGGCCTGTCATCTTCAACCCTCCCACATGAGATCCTTCAGCGGCTGCAGTCAGAAGATGATCTACTTTCTGCCATTGAATCTCCTGCTTCCAGTGCTGATGCCTCATCACCAGTGTCCACGCTATCATCCGATGAATCGTCAGAGATGCCCCTGCCAAGGGTGGCATGTTAAATGGAAAATGTTTCCGTGACCAAAATGATCTATGTATTGTTCAACAGTCTCTCTGCGCAAATGACTCAGTCTGTGATCATCAAAGATTCCTGAAATGTAATTGACTATTATTTACGTTCTAATGTTGTCTTGTAAATTAAGATTAAACCTAATGAGCATGGTTCTTCTTTGTCACATTATTATTTCGTATAAGAGTTTATTGTACAATATAAACATAGGGAGTTATACCCAAGAATATGTTTTCAGTAAACAAGTATAATTTTCCCTGGTTTATTTCAGTGATTATGTCTAATTACTGAAAATTTCAGTAATTAGACATAACCACTGAGTGAAACAGGCATGAGACATAATCACTGAAATTTTCAGTGATTATACATAACCACTAATTACACTTGTCTCCAGTAACATATATATGCAAGTAACATGCACAAAAAGAGACACATGGGTGAAATTGAAGTGCTACACGAACCAACAAAAGCAAAACTATGGTACTAAACATGGTAAAACATGTAAAGAACTGAAAGCATGCCACATCTACCACCAGAAAGGAGCGGAGCACGAGGGCAAGAACAATGAAACTTGTACAAATGCTGAATGAATAATAGCTGGCTGTAGCGCCCAAGCTCACGTACAACAAACCATTCATAACACGACGTGCCAGTACTTAAATGTAAATTAGAAAAAGGCATGTCCAAATACACCTTTGTTGGATATAATTACTAGAAACAATCCCACCAAAGTGTGTAAGCTTTCAAGTTAACCATGAAATGGTATAAGGCAAAGAAGGCCACCACGTCCGCCATCTTGCAAGCCACATGGCATGATAATGAGGGAATGGCGAGTAAAGTTACAACATATCATGAATGAAAATAATTGAGAACGCTCCTACCTATCGCCCATGCAATAAAGAAAGGAAGCATACATACAGTATTTGTCTCTTTTCGCTCATCTTAGCGGAATTCAACTTGAAGTGTCCAATGAACCACCCACACAGAACGACAGCATGAAAGATGAGTTACGAGGTTGACAGTTAGAGTTACCCGCTCTTGGCTGTTGGGGCCAAACAAGACAAAAACAAGTTTTTTGTTTGGTAAATGTTTTATTAGAAAATATAGTGACAACTGTCGTATGAATTTTAATGGCCATTTAAATGCTTACAAGTACCCCAAGGAGCACCTCTTCTGAAAAAGAATTGGTTCATTGACTTATGTAGTAAAAGACCGAAAATACTGTTCCACCACTTCATATACATGCATGCTTTAGTTTTAAGAAGTTAAAATGTAAACATGCTCTGAAGCAAGAGTTTTAAACAAACTCTTTTAAAAGAGTAGTAAGTAGTGAGTTGAGTTTTACGCCCTACTCAGCAATATTCCAGCTATATGGCGATGGTCTGTAAATAATCGAGTCTGGACCAGACACTGCACTGATCAACAGCATGAGCATCGATCTACACAATTGGGATACGATGACATGTGTCAACCAAGACAAATGAGCCTGACCACCCGATCTTGTTAGTCACCTCTTACAACAAGCGTCAATTCTAACCCGGATCTTCAAGGGTCTCTTTCAAAAGAACTTAAAATAGATGCTGCACACTTAGCAAAGTACATGTATGTACAAACTTTCTATAGTGAGTTGAGTTATCCATAAGCAGAAAGTACAAGGCAATAAAAACACATATGTTGCACATCCCATGTACCTGGGATTCTGAACAATCATGAACTGGTCATTTTATCATTTTCTATGTAAGGTAGGCATACTGGACATGTGTCCACAGTTATCTTCTTTTCATTTCAATATGTCATTGCCTATCAAGTGTTCGGATGTGCAGTAAATTAGTGTTACTTCTCACACCAAAAGTCTGGTTACTGATGTTCTTGTGGAGTGAGATACAGTGATCAAACTTACGGGGCAATTATTGCTCTTGCAGGAAGATGGCTTGCTTTTACTTTCCCAAGCCAAGCTCCAAGCTGACTCCTCAAATCGTCTTCTGAAACATAACATCATGTAACCCATGTGTTATTGCCATAATATGAGATGAAAATTTACAAACCAGTAAATTGACACATGTAAACTACAAAGAAACCCTATCACCACCCTTCAGTGTTTGCCCTGGGCATAAAAATTTAGGAGTCATCATGACACCCTGGTCCCGGGGTCATGAAAGTGACTTAAGTCTAAAAATTGCTTAAATCTGTCATTTTGATCTTAAGTACAAGAAATTGTCTTACATCTGGGATCACGTACATTTTTTAGTCTTTAAGTTAAGACTGAGATCATTTTTTTGTCTTAAATCCTGACACTGCTACCTACCAGCCTTAACCCCTCTTTTGTGCAGAGTTTTTTTTCCAGGTGCACATTTTCATAAGGTTTGAAAAGTGAACGTTGTGCAAAATTTGGGCTAGTGTGGTCCTGGATTTGCGTACGGCTATAAAATTACACAGAAATGTAGAACATTGAATTTCCTATCCATTGGTATAAATATAAATGCAAATACCTCCGCGGTTTGAGAAACAGACACTGCTAAATGATGTCCAAAATTTTGTTATGCATTAAAAAACAGTAAATTTCTCCGCTTTTGACTGTGCACCGATAAAAGCACTGTGCCATGATTTTTTAAATTTGGCATCTTTACAGAAAGACCGCCACCATAAAGCTTGAATATTGCTGAGTGCGGCGTAAAACTAAACTCACTCACTTTACGGAAAGTGTGAGCGAAGAAAGTACAGCCTGATATCTGAACGACATAAGTATATATGAAATGGGTTTATTTTCTTATGCATAACGTTATAAGCTCAACATTAAAAATGACTCGCAATAAATGTCGAAAATAGATTTTCTTGTATGACGTCAAACGACGACAGAGAGGTCATGCACGTATAAAGATAAGGGGGCATAACTCCGCTATGCTTAACACTAGGTAACTCAGATCACTTGGAGAGAATTTGTTGTGGATACAGACGCTATATTTTGGTTATGTTTTGTTCACCGTGAACCAAACTATTCCAGTACAAAGTTCCCCAATGTGAGCAGATACGTTTTGATAGCTTCACAATTTATAAGAAAAGATGACAATGCACTACATGAGAAAGCACGTAAAAGCGATTTGAATGGCCCTATCCGATATGTATATTAGTTCTTAGATTCACATATTCTCCTGTTTGTGTACATGTATTTTGACTGATTTTGCATCATTAATAACCGAGTACTAGCCATATCTTCAAATGTAATGAAATTACTGAAAAGATTAGTTGACGTCATTGCTTGTTTTATGTATTTTGCGACATCGGAAAAAGACGACATTGGTATGCTGATTAGTATATATCTCACCTAATTTCCATGAATTGTATAAAAGGTTTCGGTTTCTATGTCTGAATTTAACACTATTTCGACTGAACTTAAAATGACTTATTTTACCATTTCAATAATGTCCTGAATATATCCATAATTAGACGGTTTGACTGTGTATCTTAATATGAACAACACGCACACCTGTTTGGCATCAATTTAACGTATAAAAGAATATTTCGCAACACCTGAATATATTATTTAGGATAAGACTTTTCTTTGTTTATGACTACGTGGCTATTTCTCTTCATAAGTATACAAAGAAAGATGCAAAAAACATAGCTCTTTTTGTATGGAACTATCAGAATAATGATGTAAGGTTTGTCCAATGTAAGATATGACATGGTCTATATTTTGTTTACAATTTTCGTAGAAATATAGTTACAGTTTGATATCCTGCCATTACAATATTTTTTTTAGAATATGAATTCATTATATTATCGAAAACAATGAAAGTGAACTGTAAAATGTTTGTGACAAACACGCACCAGGCCAATCATTATACATCACCGTTTCGTCAATAAAACGAAATAACCAAATTCAATGAAGAAGACAATTTCTTTAAAAATGTGTGCATATACATTTCATAAAATATCAAAATCATTTTCATTAATATTGTCAGTTATACTTTAAACTCTAATTTAAATTGCTGTTCATTAACCTGTTCATATAAAACTGTAATATTGGTCGAATGGCGAATATTGCACATGATAAGAACTAAACTACATGTTGCATTTATGCCTACGTTTGTTCTTCTAATGCTTGTTTAAGGGTTTAAAACATGGTGTACTACACTCAGTATGTCAATTTCTTATGTAAATATTGTTCAAACAAACAAAAACCTTCAAAGAATAAAAACTGTATACCATATATCCACGGATATTATGTAGAACAAGGCTAAATGTAGATAATGCAATTAGTTTCATGAAAAAATATCTAAACGATACACAAAATATACATCGTAACACTGAAAGTGTAATCGGTGGGACATGGCGATTGTTTACTCTTATTCAACCGACCTTCACCTCAAAGAAATTGCCAGATATGTAACAACAATGTAACGTATATGACATTACTACCGTTGACCGATTTCCTACATAGGATTTTGCGACGACCTTTCCCTTGAAATAGGGGATCGTTTGTACATAAATGTGTGATGTAAGTAATCAGAATGTTTCTGACTATCTGTGTATTGTTATATGTTTTATCGTTTTTATTGTAAGTAAGAGAAGACGCCAGATATGCCAATCATTACCGTTGTTGTTCTGCGAGATTTTCCGCCAGTCGTGGCATCACGCTGCACAGAAACTGACAATTTTGTATAAACATATCACATTACTGTATTGTAATTATTTTTAATTTGCTACTTCTTGCTACGATACTATTTCTATGTATGTTCTAAAAGTATTAAGCCTATGCATGCTACAAATAGACTAATGGCTGTCTAAAATTTGAGAAAAGACAGCAGAAAGCGCACTTAGGTGTTCGTGTTAGTGTATTTTCCAAAACATCCCAACTGTAAAGACACTAAAATTCACTGCGGCAGGGATTAAGGCATCAGTTGACCTGTTTGGAACATTTCAGCAGGTGCCTGCTACTAAACTATTCTCCTTAATTACTTACGAGTGGCATGATTACATCATTCTAACATTGCCATGGTAACTTTAGTCTTAGTCTTAGCTAAGATTTTGCTGAGAGTGTTTCATGATCCAGTTTCATGATTAGCTAAGTAAATTTAAGACTTAAGATTTTTTCGTGATCCCGGGGCCTGGTGTCATGAGAAGGAGTCATGGACATGTTTTTGGGAGTCAGATATGCAGGTTTTCTGCATAAAAATTTAGGAGTCATCATGACTCCTTGTGTCATGGGAGGAAGTCATGGACGTTATTGGGAGTCAGATATGCAGGTTTTCTGCATAAAAATTTAGGAGTCATCATGACTCCTTGTGTCATTTGAGGGAGTCATGGACATGTTTTTGGGAGTCAGATATGCAGGTTTTCTGTGTCATGGCAAACACTGACCCTTTTCATAACGTCTAAAGACTTGTTGCATATCAACACATCCCTCACAAAAAAAGAAGTTTTTGAATGCGTAATAAAACAAAGTTACCATTATTCATGTTTTTTGGCATACTTCCGCAATTACATTATAGCACTAACTTCATGTTTGGCAAATGTTGTCTTCATATCAATAGTTGAGGCAAACCCTTTTCTGCCCTTTTTTTTCTAAGTGTGCGTTACGGCACCAGGCAAATATTTTAAATATGCCTTTCAGAAATCAAGTGTGCCCACATGTTTTTAGAATAAATGACTGTAGCAATGATGATGATCACTTGAAATTTATTGTTAGTAAACAAGAAATGTAACCCATTTCCTGTTATCACTGATATGTCTTCTGTTTAAGATGGCTTTATTAAGCGTCATTTGTGCTGCTTTACCAACAGATTCAAAACTCATATAATTATTCATACCACCTCGACCTAATGTGGCATATGAGTAATCACGATGTACCATTCCCTATTCATAATGATTACTCGTAAAATATCGAAAAACTTAGAAAAAATTCCATGGTAGAAACACTTCTAAGAAACAAACTATACTCTGACCCACCTGGCAGGCAGACAGGGTGACAGCGTTCATGTAACGCATGGGCAGTGCATGGAAGGGACAGTCTCAAAATATCAAGTGTCAGTATCACTGCTGGGCAAGGACTCTAGCGGAATTATAACAGGTGCAACTCGCCTGACGTTAACGGCGTCCCGCAGACGGTATTCGTCCTCGAGTTTGTGAACACGTCTTCAGCCTTTTGCCACACTTCTGGGGTAATTCTCGCAAAAGAAACATACACAAGCTCTTTAACGTCTGAAAGCTTGAATGTGGTATTATTGCGAGCAATAAAATTCTTACAGTTACCCCAGATCAGCTCGATGGGATTGAGCTCACAGTGCCGTACGGTGTACGCAGAACTATGTGGCCTTCTTTTGCAGCTAGTTTGTCGGTGATGTACCGGATTGGCTTTTTGTGCTGCCTGATTTTTTCCATGAGCTGGGGCTTTGTTTCTGAGAGCCTGTAAGGCACGTTACAGGAAGTGAGAAAATCCTGCAACTGAGCCTTGAGATTGCTCATGGTGGGTGTGATGGTACCAGGGACACGCAGGTTATGGTAACTGGTGTTATCCAAAATGATAATGCTTGGTTCGTCCAGCTGCGGTAAAAGCTGATGTTCGAACCAATCCAAAAATACCTGCCCATTCATTTCGCTATGATAATCAACATCAGATTTCTTGGCCTCAAAAACAAAGTGACAACCCCCAATCAGTCCCTTGCTACGGGTACCAGCATGCAAGATGATCAGGCATCTACCTTTGTCTGATGGTAACACTGGTGCCTTAGAACAATCTAAAGGAAGTCACATCCGATCGGTTGAGTGATTTTTATTACACCAGGTTTCATAAATGTATATAATTTGAAACCCCAAATTGCAGTATTCTTCAACTGTTCTGAGATAAGCTGATCGCATGGACAGGATTAAGTACTTTTCTCTAAACACAGCTCTGTCACCTCCCCTTTTGGTGTACGTGAACCCCATTTCTACCAGAGCTATAATAATGTAATTTTTAGAGTAAAATTGATATTTTATACTC